CTGCATGGGGTTGTTGTGGCCGAAGTGCAGGACCCGGCACTTGGCCTTGTTGAATCTCATACAGTTGGCCTCGGCCCATCGATCCTGCTGCTCTTCTCCAAGGTGTGTTATTCCCTTACCTCTCCTCTCCTCTTTAATCTTGACCTTCATTTTGCTTGCTGTTCTGGAGCAAATGCTGGCAACCTGCTGACTTAGCAGCTCAGATTCCTAGGAAGACCAGTATGGTTGCGTTAATTGTGTCTTTGCTGATGCAAGCAAATTTTCTTCCTTTCTGCTTCCCCCTGCCTTGTACCTTTGCTCAGAGAAGAGAAATAACCAACTGTAATCCTGAGACAAGCAAGGCACTTTTCCTTCTCTCCCATGCAGATGGGGAGACGGGAGCTTGTTCTCCGTTGCCTTGCCAGCTGATAGTCTCCCCAGCGCTCCTTCCTTCAGCTCCTCTTTCAGGCTCTTCTAAAATACTGGGGCCATCTCTTCTGTGGCATTTGTATAAGTAGCCATTGCATGGCCTGGTTGATCCTTGAGCTGCAGAATGCTCATAGACAGGCTGTAAAGTGAGGCTCTTGATTTAGGAAGGAGGGATGCTGCTGCTAGTCCTGCTGCTGAGCTGCTGTGTCACCTTGCACAAACTGTGCTTTGCTCGTTCTCTGGGCAGGAACCCTTGTGAGCCAAGGCAGCCTCTCTTGTAGTTATCCCCTGGATGTCCAGACACTTCTTTAATGCAGATAACCCTCATCCAACCCACTGGGACTTGTAGGTGGGGGAATCCAGCCCTCCCTCTAGAGAAAGAGCTAGTTAAGAGCTGATAATCTCACTGTGCCTATTCAGGGATGACTGGTGGGGGGGGGGGGGGGAGCGGCTCTGTTATTTAGCACACAGAGGCTCAGGGAATTACAGTGGGTTGAAGTTGTAGACATCAAAGGTCAGCCAGAAAGTAAACATGCTTTCAACTGTTAATCTAGAGGGAGCTAGAGATGGGGTGTTTAATCACAGAATACACCTATGAGAGGAGCATTGCCCTTGTGTCCATTTCAGGTACATGTCTTGGGACAAAACACAGGTTGTATCTGTGCTCAACGTGCCCAGACGTGTTGCCCTGCCCATTGTTCACTTCCATAGACATTTGTATTGGAACAAAACACTTGGGATCTCCCGCTAGGGCAAACGTGATGTAATGGGTGCAGGCACAGAGTCACCTTCCTCTTGACTTAGTCCAAACACGCAACGCAGAGCTTCTGTGGCCAGAGGTAGGTTGTACCATACCTGGAGTAATGTCTGCCAGAGCAAGATTTAATCTGGTGGCATTACTTTGAGCAGTTATTAGGGTGGATCTGTCCCACATCAGTGCTTTGTTTTGCTTGTCTGAGGCATTTTTGAGCTGGCACTAGGAGTGGGAGGGAGCTTTCTTGCATTTACATTTCCAGCTTTTCTGAAATGCAGTTGCAATAGCTTGTTGTTCCCTCTTGGAAGGTCAGGGGTTGGGTTGAAGGGACTGACTGGCAGTTTGTGTGCACGTCCCCGTGTGGCTGTGGCAGACAGGTTGCCCTCCCTTTGAAGGACAACTCCTGTGTGTTGGTCCCCTAATCCATATCAAAGATTGGGGGATTGAAACCTTTGAAATCTTTTAAACAAAGATTTTGTTTGAAAGCAGCTGACTCTCTCTGGTTTGAAACTCTTGGGGAGCTTTCTACAGTCTGTTGGGTTGACAGACCAGAGGCAGAGGTTATTTTATGAGTGAGGAAGGTGATGTCCAAGCTGGGGACAGTAACCTCTTGGGTAGCAAAAAGAAACATATGGCTTTGTATGGATGTTTCCTTAGGTCAAATATTTCCTGCCTTTGGAAATCTTGTCATCCTTATTCCAGAATGGCTGGTTTGGGTCCCTCCCCAAGCGGAGTCAACTCCTACATGGCCAAGATTTTTCAGAAACTTGAAAAAAATCCTACTCTGCTCCCATGTGACATCAATATACCAGTGCTTTCAGAGATCCTAACTTTGGACTGATGCGTTGCTCTTGAAAAGCCCTCCATAAACCTCTAGTTCCTGCTTTTTGACTTTCTTATTTTTCAGCTCTAGTTTGAAATTCTAATTTAGATTGAGCAGGAATCTTCTCCCCTTCCCATTTGATATTGTTGATTTGTCACTAATTAATTGCATGTCAGTTAAAAAGGTGGAACAACTGATTTCTGCCAGTGCAGAATTTGGAGCTATTGTGTATATGTTATATTTAACACCCTCTTGCTTTAATAAAAGATGGTTTCTGTGTTTGTAGGACCAGATCCTTGCTGGTGTTGCAGCTTTTGAAGGTAATTGAGATGTGCCAGTTTTTAAACCACTGAGGATAAGGCCTGTGGTGCCTTAAATATTTAAACCCCCTTGTCATCTAGAGATGAACCGTTTTCAAACTCCTTTTATGCACAGACTGGTGAGGTTTTGCAAAGGAAGTTTGACCCCTGTATGGCAAGTTTTTAAACCTCCTGACAAAAGATTTGCTTATCTTAGGCTATTTTTTTTCTTCGACTCCCCCCAGTTCCCAGGATATGCAAACCAGAAGCTGAAACCCCTTGTTCTAGATGCTTTTGATGTACCTGTTTGACATCTCTAAAATACACCCACGCACATAAATCCTTCGCTGGGTCACACTGGCGTAGGTCCATGGAGTTCTATCAAGCCAGGCTGGCTTTTGTTGGCTGGGATAATGGTCCACAGATGAACATGTAGGGCAAATCTTCCTGATCTTTTGAACTGGGGATCAAAGCGGTCGCGCTGGATGAAAGCCAGGAGATGTGCTCCAGGGATGCTCCAGGGCTAAAGTGGGAGATGCTCTGCTGTGCCATAGAGGAGGACTGGCAGCCAGCTCCTTTGGGTAGTTTGCTTCCTCCCATGGCTGGGCTAGAGGTTGTACAGCCTTGCTGCTGACTGTATTGAGCCGTGCAGAGACTGGCGGGGTGCTTCAGGCCACCGGAGAGGCACAAGTTGGCCACCTCCAGGCATCAGTGCCAGGGCGGACCTCTGGATTTGCACACCCTGATACCTACATACCTCCAGGAAAGCTTGCTGCACACACTTCAGCGCCCGTGTGGGTAACTCTGCAGGAGGGATTGTGTTTTGCAGCTTCTCATCTGTGGGGGGATTTGGAAAGGGGAGTGAAACGTTCCTCCCTTTAGCCTCACAGGAGAGCTCTATATTTAGTCACTGGTAATCTCCGTTGTGGCTCTGTGCCTCTAATCCCCTACTCCAATATCCTCCCTGGAGAAGATGAGAGGTGGAGAAATTGGCACGGCTGATGTGGTGGGGCAGCAGGATTACAGCGCATCTCCCCTCCCTTTCTATAGGGTTGGCATTGAAACTTCTTTGCTGGCCTGCAGTGCCACAGCTGTGCTGTGTGTGCATGCATATGAAACCCCCGGTAAGGGAGCGTGGCTTGGTTTTGCAAGGGAATAGGGCATATCATTGTGGGACTGCTTTTACCATAGTGTGGGGACTCACCTTAAGATGAGGTATTGCTGCAGGAGCAGGGCTGGGGGCAGTAAAAATAGTACTTGCATTTAAAACAGAAAAAAGAGGAGGCTGTTTCCCTCTGGCTGTGTGATTTATATATGCCTTTGTTTTGGTTTTTTTTTCCCCTTTTAGAAAAGAGCAGATCAGAGGCACTTTTTTTCTTTTAATCAAGTCGGTGTTTTCTGGTGCCAAGGCGTGAGATTTTTTTACAGGGCGAAAACTCATCAATTTCTGAAAATTGAGGCTTTCTTAGCATTTGCATCCTGAGTTCCTCTTTTTAGTCTTAGCTGGGCTGTTTCGTGGCTTTGGGACAGAGGGAGCTATGAAATGCTGCGTTTTGTTAGGCAAGAACATGTCACTGATAATCCCTGCTCTCTAGTGCAGAGGATGCACAAAGCTGCAGTGCTGGGGGTCCATCCCATCCCTCGTCCCTCAGGCAGGAGCAGTTTAGTGCAAAGGCTACTTTATCAAGTTTGGAAAGGCTGGTTAGGTGAAGAAGCTCCTAATTACAGGAGAACTGCCTCCCTGACTCTCATGTTCGCTGTTTGTTTGTTTTGCTTTTGTCATAGAACTCCAAAGCAGCAACTTGAATATTTCCCCCCCTTGCTCCTTGCCCTGTGGTCTCCATTTGTTTGTTTGTGGGGATGTTGACTGTGTTTAAAGAACTAGACTGGCAGAAGGAAAGCTACTTATCCCCCTTAACGCTCAGGTCCTCTGCTTTCTGAAGGCTGTGCCCTGACCAGGGGCAACGCTGGGCTGGAAGAGAGCTGCAGCTATCTGTCTGGGGATGGAGAGGGTTGTGTGTTCCCATCCAGGGCTGTTCTGGCTGGGCTTGTGGCTTTTTCTGAATGTTCTGTTTCTGGGGCCAAAATGGGTCTTTTCCTCCAGATCAGGTGATGCCGGCAGAGTTGTCAAGTCTGGGCTATGCCGAACTGTCAAGCCTAGCAGGTTTCCCCGTGCCCCCGGTTGCCTCTCCTGTAACCCCCAGGGTCGGAGGTGTGCCCCAAGCCCCTGCACCCAGCTGCCCTGGTGTTACTGCAGGCCACCACCACTGACTGACTCTTTCTCTCTTTTCTTTGGGCAGGAAAAAGCTGACACTGCTGAGGGAGATGCTGGCGGGTTGCGGTGCAGGTACCTGCCAGGTGATTGTCACCACTCCCATGGAGATGCTCAAAATCCAGCTGCAGGACGCAGGGCGAATTGGTATGTGGGCTTCTCTTCCCTGTGCGCTGAGCAGGCAGGGGGAAAAGGGCTGGGACTGGGTTGTCAAGGCAGAGGGGGAGGGAATGAGCAGAGAAAACCCTTTTTCTTGTGAGTGATTAAAACTTGATAGTTACTGTGTGCCTAAAAAGGGATTAGCATCCTCCAGTGCTTTTCCTGTGGTGCTTCCTCCATCTCCATGTTTTCTGGTGTCTATTCTCTCTCTTCTACCACCTGTAGCACCTCCTTAACAGCTTCGCAAGGGGAGGTGTCCTTTCCAAATGACTTGTTTCCCCTCTTACTCTCTGTTTTTTTCCTCCTGACAAAAGCAGCAGTTGTCTCAGCTGAAACAGTAAATAAAATTCTCCCGGCGTGCTGGGTTTGGGGTCAGGCTCTTGGGGCTGTGGGGAGGAGCTGGCACGCAGAGGCAGGAGGGATTGCGAGCCTTTTGGTTGAAACACTGTGGGGTGTTTCTGGTGAGAACAGAGACCAGAGTCTGGCACAGAGGATCTGGGCAAAAGAGCTGTTTGCTATGGCCTTAAATCTCTTCCAGAGGTTGGCCTCGTTCCCCAGGAGCCCTGCATGACACTGTTACATATAATATTTGTGGCCCTTCCTGGAAAATGGGCCAATTTGTCCTTTAATCTCTCCTTTGATGTGGTTATTCCTGAATAATCACAGATTTACTTTGTCTTTCCTCTCTTTGCTGTTTTTAATGCAGACCTTATCCTCTTTGTGCATATTATTTTAGAAAGTTTGAAGGAATTAAGCTATGGTTTGAGGGTTGTCGTGGTTTAACCTCAGTCAGCAACTGAGCACCACACAGCCGCTCACTCACTCCCTCCCCTCCCCCCTGGTGGGATGGGGGAGAGAATTGGAAAAGCACAAGTGAGAAAAACTCGTGGGTTGAGATAAAAACAGTTTAATAATTGAAATAAAATGATGATAATAATAATAATATGATAATAATAATAATACACAAAGCAAGTGATGCACAATGCAATTGCTCACCACCTGCCGACCGATGCCCAGCCAGTCCCCGAGCAGCGGCCCCCTCCCCCAGCTTCCCCCAGTTTATGTACTGAGCATGACGTCACATGGTATGGAATGTTTCTTTGGCCAGTTTGGCTGTGCCCCCTCCCAGCTTCTTGTGCACCTGCAGCCTTCTCAGTCGGTAGAGCATGGAAAACTAGAAAGTCCTTGGCTAGTGTAAGCACTACCTAGCAACAACTAAAACATGGGTGTGTTATCAACTTTGTTCTCATCCTAAATCCAAAACACAGCACTGTACCAGCTACTAGGAAGGAAATTAACTCTATCCCTGCCGAAACCAGGACAAGGGTTCAGACAAAATTTTCACTGCTGTGAACAGCCTGTTCTCTGCGTGGCAAGAGACCTGTGGTATGCTGGTGGCAGCCGGAGGATGTGCTCTCCATCTTCTGGCCAAAGAGCAGAAATGCATCAGTTTGAAAAGGCTGCATTTATAAATGTGGCATACCTAGTGCAGCTGAGGAACTCCCCAGGTTAGTGATTGCTTTCAAGGGAAGGAAGCAAAGAACAGAAGTGTTGAACCTCCCTCATTCATTAATATCTTTCGTTTGTCCTACCGGGGGCTTGGGAATGTAGCTGGAAGCAGGTACCATCATCTGTCTGCTCATGGCAGCTCCTTTTCTCTGCACCGTGGAGGTCGTGCGTGACAGGCTCCTCCTGCTTAGGTAAAACCAGTCAGTAGGAGAGTGCAGCGGACAGCGTTGTGGTGTGGCAGCAGCCAGCTCTGAGACTGGGACAAGCTGGGTTGCCTCAGACTGAGGGAGATGGGCAGACAGGGAGCAAAAGCTCGCAGGGCACCTGGCTGGCCTTAGTCTGCATGTTTTGGTGCACCTGGAGATCTGCCTCTTCCTCCTTGTCCCGTGGCACCGGGCAGCAAGAGACTGCTGTTGAGCATCTTGCAAACCAGTGCTCTCTCTGCTCCTCCCCAGCGGCACAGAAGAAGCTGATGGCAGCGCAGGCGCAGCTCTCCTCTTCCTCTGTGGTGGGGGCGGCAGAGCCAGCGGTGGAAACACGCACCACAGCAATGCAGATAACGAGGGAGCTGCTGCGGAGCAAAGGCATCACAGGACTCTACAAGGGCCTCGGAGCCACGCTGCTAAGGTAGGACGGTGGGGGCTCGAGCACAGGGCACCAGCGTTCCCAGTCTTGAATGTAAAGCACCAGCCATCCAGGGGATGAGACTGCAAAGGGGGTGTTGGCTTCAGGGGGTGTGGGTTTGATTTGGTTTGGTTTCCATGCACAGGTTTTGCACAATAAAGAAGTGAAGGTCAGGGAAGTGAGGGAGTCTACCTTTTATTTCTGGAAGATTTAATTCTGCTGCTTTCTGTGGAAAGTTTTTGTCTCCCCCATGGTCCACATTTTAACACTGTAGAGAAGTCCTTGTGAGCTAGCAAAGCAAAACTGTCACCTCAGTCTCCAGAGTATGAAATGGGTTCCGGCCCATGGAGCTGCTGGATACAAGGACCAGTGCCCTCTCTTCTTTACCTGGACTTTCACAGAGTGACTCTCCTCTAGCTTTAACAAAGGCAGAGCTAAAGCAGCGCCTGGTGGGATGGAGTCAGGATGCGAACCTCTTGTAATTAACAAAAGTGGACAAAACGATTGACTTCTGAATGTGCTGGGGTCTTCAGTTTGAGTCTTGAAAAATTGGGGAGGCCATTGACTCTGCAGGGCTGCATGCCTCACGTGGGCCTGTTGTCTTTTGTGCAGTCAGTTTTGCCCCTGCTGAGTTTCTGCTCCTGTCTGCGTTGCAATCACGGAGCTGGGATGTCTGTGTTGCACTTGTGGCTGTGCTGCCAATGCGTGATGCTTGCAGCCCTTTCTTTGATGCTCAGTTTGTTGGTGTCCCACTCTGACTTTTGTTCATCCTTTTTCTTCTTTCTTCCCCTTCCTCCCTCCCCATCGCAGGGATGTCCCGTTCTCCATCGTTTACTTCCCGCTGTTTGCAAACCTGAACAAGCTGGGCCAGAAAGACCCCAATGTCAAGGCTCCATTCTATGTGTCCTTCCTCTCCGGATGTGTGGCTGGCAGTACGGCTGCGGTGGCTGTCAACCCTTTGGACGGTGAGTCCCGAGTAGCCTGTGCTGGTGGCCTGGCACCAAGTGACAGGAGTCAGAGGCCCACGAATGGGCTAGGTGAGGAGGAAGGTGACTGTGCCAGCCTCTTCACAGCATGAGCGCACAGGGAGGTACAGGAGGGGAGCTCTGCTGTCTGAGCTGCCTCCAGCTCAGATGATGTTTCCTTCAGCTGAGCTGTATCTTTGGCCACAACTTACAGAGTTTTGCAGTACTTGCTAGATAAGTCAGGAAGAGGGTGTCATTCATTTCAGTCATTCTCCACAGGAATGGCTGCAAACGTGCCCCTGAAAAGGCACGTATCCATGTGGAGTGATAGTATGCACACCATTTACATGCATACGATCATGGACAGCCAGGGGGACCCTATGGCCTTTTCTCCTGCTCCACAGCATCTGCCTTAAATATCACCTCGGTTTCTCTGCTGTGAAAAACACCAGAAAGTAACTCCTCTCTCCCCAACATTGCACATGCTCCAAGGTGTGAAGAAATGTAAGAGCAGCATCGTATATTTTAGATACTTCTTCCAGAAGGAGCTGAGTATTTGAAAATCAGTTCCCACTTTGCAGAAAGATGTCTGAATTTGGAAGCATTTAAAGCTTAAGTCAGCCTTGGAAACCTTGGTCACAGTGAGGGGAGGGGGTTGGGTTTTGGGTGGCTGTATTGTTCTTTTATCCATTTGTAAAGGAATGCGTTTTCCCCTGTTTTGCTGATAAATATATGAAAATGGTCTGTGTTCTTAGTGATCTCATTTTGACTGTGTTTGAGACACTACTCTCAGGGTGGCTCTTGCCTGCTGAAGAGCGTGCTACATTCCCAGTGCTCACCACTGTCTCTCTTCTCTCTTTCTCCCCAGTGATCAAAACGCGGCTGCAGTCCTTGCAGAGAGGAGTAAACGAGGACACCTACTCAGGAATCCTGGACTGCACCAAGTAAGACTCCTCGTGAAGCAGGCCACCACATCAGATGTACGGCATCTGCTGCTGCCTGCTGCCAGGCAGTCAGTGCAGCTTCTAGACCCGACCAGCAGCTTCTCTGTTTCAGGTTCCCTCTGAACCTGTGCTTTTATCTATCTATCTATATGGATAGATATATACTGTTCATATATATAGGTATATAAAAGAGAACTTCTTCCTATTTTGAGCAAATACAGCATCTATATTTAAATGCTTCTGTCAAAACCCCAACAGTTGTAACACAGATTTTCTTTCTGCAAAGTGAGGCAATGCTCTGGCTGTCTCTCCCAAGACACCGTTGTCTGAAAATCCTTCAGCATTAAGGCTCATATCCCTCCCGGGACCACGCTGAACAGCAGCTGCAGGAGCGCTGTCTGTCTGGGCTGTCCCCAGCCGCACTCTCCTCTGACCCTTTGCTGAACTGTGGTCTGGCTGCTTCAAAACATGAAGGGAGTTTCAAAACACAAGCGCTCTGCTTCTGTATTGCTGTTGTAGCCAGAGTCTCTCACCAGCTGGCTGTGTCTGAGGCCACACTCCACCTACTGAGGGTGGAGTGGGCCCCAACTTTCGAACGGGGACATCTTGGATGCAAGCATGGGGTTGTCTTAGCTGTACATCCAGACCCAGGCAGATGCTCCTGCTCCTGGCCAGATGTAGGGATGGGGCATGTTTCTCCATGGCCATTCACAGAGCACATGGGGGATGGGTGGATGATCTGCTGTGGAGGTGGTGCCAGGCGACAGCAGTCTCTGGAGGGAGGCAGAAAGCCAGGGCATGGCCAGAGGCTGTCCTGGTGTGGTGGAAGGGTGGGATGGACACTTATATGTCTGTGCCGTCTCTCCCCAGGAAGATCTGGCAGAAGGAAGGGCCCATGGCCTTCCTGAAAGGGGCGTACTGCCGAGCCCTGGTCATTGCTCCTCTCTTCGGCATCGCACAAGTTGTCTACTTCATCGGCATTGCGGAGTTCCTGCTGGACATGCTCCCCAAGCACCAGGCCTAGCCCCGGCGCGCCTGCGTGTGCCCTCCCGCCCTCTGCCACGCCGAATTCATCCCCATGTTTGTCATCCGTGTCAATTGGTGTCAGAGCAACAGCACAAAGGGTTCGCGCGGGGACCCCGAGGGGACGTGGTCTCCAGACAAGCAAACATGGGCGGGGAGAGAGTCCCTTTTCTGTCCTGGTCTGGAACCTGTCCCCTCCTGCTCCTTCCACGGACAATACCTAATTATGCATTATTTTTTTTCTTTCCTTCTTTTTGTTTTTAAATTGTCATTTTTAAGGACGCTGGTAAGCACAGACTGGGCTTGCAGACCCAGAAGTCTCTTCCCAGCCTTGGGGAGGAAGAGGGGTGGGAAAGAAATAACCTGAACCCTTATCCACCCCAGTCCCCCTCTTTCTTCCTGGAGTTGCCAGCTATCTGAGGAGGAGCTGGAGGGGCAGCTGTGTCCCCTCAGTCCCACCTCAGCTCTGCTGGCCCTGGGTCGAGAGTGGGCACTGCACAAAGAGGGCTCATCTCATCGCCGCCGGAGGCATGGGCGGGGGGCTGCTGGATCTGGCAAATTCCTTGGCCTGCAAACTTTCACACCTCCCTTCCCCCTTTCTCGAAAATGAGTTGGACTTAGATGAACTTCTTGGAGACCAGAGGAAGGGAAAGGGGATTGTTACTATTAATTTTGTAATTATTTTTGTTTTAAAGCAAAGGGGCGTCCCTCCTAACTAGGTGTCACAGGCACATCTGGGTGAGGTGCAGAGATGAGATGTCTGCTCTGTAGGGAGCATGTCTGTGGGATCACACGAATGTCCGAAGGTGCTTCACTGCTTGGCTGCAGGCAGGGGAGGGAGAGGAACTTGGGATCAAGTCATTTTTTTTTCGGGGGGGGGTTCGATTTGTTTGTTTTTTTAATGCAGGGGTTGTGGGGAGGGAAAACCAGACAACAAGAAACCACTTACATTCCTTCAGCCTGCCTGCCCTGGGGTTATAAAGTGGTGGCCGCAGGTGTAGATAGCTGATTTTTTTTTTTCCAGCCTGGCCCCAGGTGCATGAAAGGAGGTGCCTGCTCCGCTTCTGCGGTGCCCAACCTCAGGGAGCCACACTAGAAATGCCATGCCTGTGTGCTCACCTTGCAAGGTGAAAACACAAGGTCTGATTGTGCTTTGGTGTTTGACTTCGGCATGTTTGGAGCCAGCCGGTGTTGAAGAGGCGGAGGGTTCCCGCACCCTGAGTGAGGAGCTGTTTGCGCATATGTGATTATGGGGTCAAGTCCTCCCGGATCATGAAAACTTGTCATCCCGCTCGCTTCTGGGGTGGTGATCGTTGTTGGGTGGCAGGGGGCAAATCCACACCTACAACCCACTCTGTCAAAGGGACACTGCCCCAGCTAACATCACTTGTCAGAGGACTTCCTCGTTCAGCACTCTTTTGGGCTGTGTAATTAATTCTAGTTTAAATGATCCTAAGTGCAAGATCTACCAATTCAGTGTAATCTTCTCCATTATTTATTCCATTTGGTGCAATTCACCCGACTTCGGTGTTTAAATTAAACTGGTCGAATTCACTTTTCTTTCCTCCTTCTTTTTCGTTTTGTTCTCCAGGTGCTTGCTTGGTGTTTGTGTTTCAAATGTATATTTAAATTAATTAAAAAAAAAAATCCCTGTTTTTAATGTTTAAAAGAAAACCACCTCTGTTTCAACATTCTTGGTTTAGTTTTTGCAAAACCTGTATGTGAAGGCTTTCTTCCTTGATGCATCCTTTTTCTCTTTGAAAAAGTTGTTCTGTCACTTTGCATATGTGAATAATTTTTTGGTTTTTTTCTTAATGACTTCGTTTATCTGGGAATGAATCTGTGCAAAGACAATGATAGATGTCTGTGCTGTGTGTAGTGCTGTGATGCTGCTATTGCTCTGGATTTCCCTTGGGTGGATTAAAAGAGAAAGATTCTTTTTTTTTAAGGTGCCCCATTCCTTGCTGCTTTGTGATTTACAAGAAACCTTACCCATAAAAGTAGTGGGATTTCTGCTTGCCCTTCTGCCTGCAAGGGTTGCCCCCTGAAGCTGGGTGATTTGCAGCTGCAGGGGGGTGCGTGGGGTGCAGGTTTGTGTTGTGGGGTTACGTTTGGAGGAAAACTTGGTGCAGTGAAGGATTGAGGTTCAGGGAAAGCTCTCCTTGTCCTTTTGGATGCTTTTAAAAACCTCTTTGTAAAACTGACTCTTCCTCCCGAAATCTCCAGCTCTTACTTCACCACGTTGGAGCTGGTGACCTGACTGGGGCTGATTTTTTTTTACCTGCTTGGACATGTCTCTGAGTCAGGAGGGCAGCAGGAGGTGGCAGGGGGTAGTGAGTGTGGCCCTGCAGGAGCCCCCAAGGCACGCAGGGTGCTGCTGGCCAAAAAAATAAGAGTTTAAAATGGGAGAATTCCCATCAACTTAATTAATCACCAATTAACAGAAACCTCTAAGCATCGATTGCAGTATTAAAGAATAAAAGTAGATAAATACACTTAGAGAAACGTGCCTCTGCTCCCCTCCCTGTGGGTGCCAGTCGTACCCAGGTCAGGGGACAACAGCCAGCATGGGGTCAACTCTTTGTGTGTCCTACCTCGTCCCTCTGGCATAGGGTCCTCCACTGACCCCAGGCCCTTTTCAGTCGTACCTTGTCCCATGGCTCTTGTGGCTCCAGTTTGTTTGGGTTTTGTGGTGTTTACTGCCCTTAAATATGTTTTGGTGGAGGTGCCGTATGCCCCTCTCATGGGTTCAGGTGGGTGGGTCGGTTTTGGCTGGTGAAATTTCCTGGAATGCAATAAGGAAATTTACTAAAGCCTGGGGGGAAACTTCCTACAGATCAAAAAGGAAATTTCTTGGAAATCAATAGGGGAATTGTTGGAAAGCAAAGGGAAACCATCCTAGAAAGCTACGGTAAAACATCATGGAAAACAAAGGGGAAATTTACTGCAAGACAATGTAGGAATTTCCTAGAGAGCACTAGGGGGAATTCCTCAGAAGCAAAGGAGGAAATATTCTGGAAATTTTTAGAAAGCAATGGGGAAACTTCCTAGAAGGCCTTAGGGGGGATAGCCTAGAAATCAAAGGAGAAAAACTTATAGACAGCAAGGAGGAAATTTCCTCAAATACCAGGGAAATTCCTGAAAAGCAAAAGTGACATTTCTTAAGAAAGTAGCAGTGATATTCCCTAGAGGGGAAATTTCCCAGAAAGCAAAGGAGGAATTGCTGGAAATCAGAAGGGAAATTTCCTGGACAGGAAGAATGAAATTTCTTGGGAAATAATTTCTTGCTTCCCAGGGAGCAATAGTCATGGGGAAATTTCCTAGAAAGCAATAGAAGTCCTGTAAAGCAGAGAGAAAATTCCTAGAAAGCAATGGAGGGCTCTAGAAAGCAACAGGGAAATGTCCCAGGAAGCAAGGGAGGAATTTCCTGGAAAGCAATGGGAGGGAAATATCCTGCAAAGTGACAGGGAAATTTCCTGGAAAGCAATGGAGGAACTTCCTACAAAGCGATAGGGGGATTTCTTAGAAAGGGGGAAATTTCCTGGAAAACCATGCAGGGGTTCGTAGTAAGCAGTAGGGAGAGGTTCCTGGAAAGAAGGGGAAATCTCGAAAGCAAGAAGCATAGCGGGAAAGAGGCCAAATTCCTGTGCTTCAGCCCTGATGACCACCACTCTAGTCCTTGGGTAATAAATTTGTAAAACTCCTGCAAATCTCAGGGTTTTTTGGTTTTTTTACCGCTCCTCGCAAAGCTCAAATGGGCTCAAGGAAGAGCAACGAGGGCGAGCACTTGGGTCGCATGTGACCTGCCTGAAATCATGGTTGTTTGCTAATTTTCCTCTAATTTAATGCAATAATCTACATAACCTGCACCACAACGGTCCGAGGCACAGGGTGACCATTTTCTATCATGGGCGGCTGTGCCCAGGACCCATGTTACTGGAAACCAGCTGCAGCCCTGGCTGGGCACCGCTTCCCCTTTCTGGGGTGGGGGGATGCCACCGAGCACCGGCCCCCCTGATCCCCCCCCCCCCCCCCCTCGCTTTCTGAGCCTGGCATGGCCGGCAGGGACCCCCACAGGGTTCATCCCTTTGCAAGGGTGGTGCTGGCTCTGAAACATACACACAGGGGTAATGCACGACCCCAGGGCTGATCTTCCTCCTTTTTTTCCCTTCTTTTTTTTGCATAAAACCGCGGTGCCACCATGCCGGACAGCAGTGTCAGAGAGCCCCAGATCCCGCCGAGGCAGCTGCAAGGCACAAACCACGTGCCAGCAGCTCCTGGTCCCTCTCCTGCCGTGACCAGGGGTGGTCAGGGGCACCCGCCTCTGCAGATGTTCAACCTGAGAAGCCGGGAGCTGGCGCGGTGCCGGGAGCAGTGCCAGGCCCGCGGGAGCGCCCCGGCTTTACGGGAAAAGGGAGTGCTGGGAAAGTCGGCTCCTGGACGCAGGGAGCGTGGCCAATGTCCACTACCCTCCTGGGGTTTGCTTCTATTTTTAAATTTTTTTATAGCATGCCCTTAGCGTGAAAACCAAGGCAGCCTGAAAGAAGAAGGATTAAAATAAGTATAATATAAAAGCCAGGGGATTTTCCAGCCCTGAGGCTGAGCCCTGCATGCCCGGGCTGCGCCGCTGGTGCGCCCCGGAAAGCCCCAGCAGCGGTGGGTGCAGCTTGCTTTCGGGCCGAGCCCGAGCATTTTGGGGTGTCCTCACTGCCCGCCTGCCCTTTGCTCTTTGCAAACCTGTGTTGTTTAATTTCAGGGTGCAGTTGTCCCATGCCAGCGCTTTTGGGGCTGCAACAGCCCGTGGGGAGCAATCCCAGCACAGGGTCACAGGTGTTTTGGCCCCTCCAGCTCGGGGCCTGATCCTGCCTGTTGCCCACCAAGGTCTGCATCCCATGCTGGTGCAGGGCAAGTTTTAACTCTGGATTTTTTTTTTTTTAATTATTATTATTATTATTATTATTATTATTATTATTAATTTG